ATTCAATTTACTTGTATTCATTGTATCTCACCTAATGACCATATGTACAAATTACAGTAATGTATTGCCCTATTAACCCTTTGACTGTCGAAGGGCCAAATCCTGAAGTTGCTTCTGGTGTCGCAAAATATTCGAAAAAAAAAAAATTATTTTTTCTTATGAAATGATAGAGAATCTTTTCCCGATTGTAAAGACACCAAAAAAACGAAATTTGATGGAAAACTGACGGAATTACGCTCTCGCGAAGTTAGCGACTTCGGCGATATTTAAAAATCGGCAATTTCGCCCACTTTGAGCCCTATTTTCGGCTAATTCCTTTATTCCAGTCAACCAAACTCATAACTATTTCTTCAGAACTCTATTTTTTCTATCGATTAAGTACAAGAAACTGCCCATTTACCGATTTCAACTACCCAATAACATGGTCAGAAATTTGCAATTTGGCCAATTTCACGAAAATTAAAAAATATGACAATTTCAAAATAAGGTCCAGAATGAACAATGCAGACATTCCTGGCTCTAAAATAACATTTTCTTTGTTCATCAGTCATGTCTCCAGGTCCCTGTGATATTACTCTTGCTTTTTATTTTGAAATTTTATTCAAACAAAAAATAGAAGATTTACTGTTATGCAGACTACTGCAATACTGTAATAATTGTAAAAATTACATCAACCCATTCATGACTGCGTATTAGAATGGCTATTTGGACATTTATTGGACAATGACATCATTTGTTCACTTTTGAACATCGGCAAAAATCAAACATTTCCTGTACTTTGTGCTCCATTTCCAGGTTCTTTTTATAGTAAAATTAATCAAAATCACCTCCATTTCTATAATATAGTTTCCATTCTATCAAATGAGACCAAGAAAACGAGAATACAACCACAAATACTATACGAAAATAGACCACAAAGTCGGCATTTTAATTAAAAAAAACGGTCGGAGTTTTTTTTTTCTCATTATGCACTGCGTGCTCCAGGATTTTTTTTATGTGGTGCACACTGACCACACAGACCCATTCTCTCACATGTGGGCCTACTAGCTTTCTCCTGCCTGATTTGAAGCCGCTAGAATTTATGAGTATATATACGTCAAACACGGTACCTCGCAAACGTATATATACGGCCGCGACAGTCAAAGGGTTAATCTTAAGTTTGCCCAAAATGCTCTGTATATAAAGGGGCTTTTGGCATGGCCACCCAACTGTTACACTCCTCTGTACAAACAGGTATCTTACTAAAATAAAATTATTATTATTATTATTATACTCTTGAGGGACTGATTACCTCATCTTCTGTATGTAGTTCCAGTCTTAGCATTATGTCCTTGAATTTGTATCGATAAAAACCACTGGATGGTGAAACATCTACAAATAAAGATACCCAGACATTGCACATGGCGTATTTTTCATCTTGTCAGTATTGTATGTATACCATTCATGTACGTGAAAACTATGTTTACACTATAGGTTTCCCTGACATGTATAGTGTGTTTCAGGCCCACGACGGCTATACTAAGTACAGTCAAGTTATAAACAATTCAGAATAATAGGAGTCTTCAGCATGCTTTACAAACTGAACCAATTGCATACAGCAAACATATGTTGCACGTGCAGAATTACTGATAGAAATGGGACATCAAGTAACATCAACTTCTAATGCAGCCCTGCATAAAGCTCACTAGGGGTGACACTACCCAGGTCAGACCACATTGCTTTAGGTTGTATTTAAAATTCATTTTTCTAAATATACATACTGTACTTTAACATATTTATGTACAGTGGTCCCTCGCTTTTCGTAGTTCTCGGTAATCGTAAATTTCGCCAATTATAGGGGTATTTTCGTATAAACATGGACTCGCTTTTCATAGGTTGACTCGCGAATAGTAGTTGGGTTGATGGCGGCATCATACGGGAAGGTTGGGTTGACGGCGGCATCATACGGGAAGGTTGGGTTAGCGGTGGCATCACACGGGAAGGTTGGGTTGATGGCGGCATCACACGGGAATGTTGGATTGACGACGGCATCACACGGGAAGGTTGGGTTGATGGTGGCATCACATGGGAAGGTTGGGTTGGCGGCGGCATCACACGGGAAGGTTGGGTTGGTGGTAGCATCACACGTGAAGGTTGGGTTGACGGCGGCATCACACGGGAAGGTTGGAGTGGCGGCGGCATCACACGGGAAGATTGGGTTAACGGCAGCATCACATACGCACGGTGTGAGCCGGGGCGGCCTCCCTACCCAGCCAGTCTGGCATTGTTTACCAGTGAGTGAAGGTCCCCTCAAGTGCTCCTACGAAATATTTCGTAATATTCCACTCATTTTAGTGCTTGCAATTACTAAATGAGCTACCATGGCTCCAAAGAAAGCTCCTAGTGCCAAGCCTGTGGTAAAGAAGGTGAGAAATATGTACAGTGACAAAGTCTTGGGCCATTTTAGGGAAGTGTTAAAGAGACGCCAGAAACAGAGCTCTCTCCACAGTTACTTTGCGAGACAGGACTAGAGTGACTCTCAAGGTGGTCCTAGTGGCATTAAGAAACAGAGAAGACAAGCAACCCCAGAGAAGCAATTGGTACCTGAGGTGTTGCTGGAAGGGGATTCCCCTTCCAAACTGTAAACAATCCAATCTCTCTCCTCCTCCAGTCTCCCATACACTAAGAAGAATCTCCAGTAAAGGTAAGTGTTATGCTGTTAATGTTTCATTCATCATTTCCCATTGTATTGTTTATGTACTATATGTATATTTCATGTAAAAATTTTTTTTGTTTTAATACTTCTGGGTGTCAGGAACGGATTAATTGTATTTACATTATTTCTTATGGGGAAAATTGATTCGCAAATCGTAAATTTCGTTTATAGTAGCTCCTCCAGGAACGGATTAATTACGAAAAACAAGGGACCACCGTATTCTTAAATATTTATATTTAAATTTCTATATAAAAATCATACTGTTTGATGCTCCTCACTTTATGATGGTTCGACTTACAATATTCTGACTTTACGATGTTGTGATAAAACTATAAAATAAAAAAATTTTGTGCAGTAGAACCCCACTTATACAGCAGGTTAGGTTTCAGGCTACCACCGTAAAGTGGAACGCCCCTTTTTTTCCCTCTTATAAATGCATATAAATGCTAAATAACAGGTTTACACTAACATACATTAAGTCAACAGTAGAACCAGGCATTAAAAAACAATAAAAAAGTAAAATACACATTGTACACTCATTACTTACCTTAAAATATTTGTAGTCTTATTGAAGGGCAAGATGAGTAGTATTTATTTTAAGAAGTCAGGTGTGGTATGTATGGTAGCCAGGCTAGGCCACCCCCACCCACACCTAATATACTACAACATTTAAAGCATCCCAGAGTGATGAAATGCATATACAGTTCACTCATTACTTACCTTAAAATATTTGTAGTGTTAATGTAGGGTGAGAGGTGAGTAAACAAGATACAATTGAATAAACAAGGGAGAGAGAGAGAATGAGAGAAAGAGAGAATGAATAAATGAGAGAGGACAGAGATGCAGAGTATGTAAACAAACAAACAAACACATCTGGTTTTGGTTCATACATGTTTGTATTATACCATAATACAAACACTTTACATTGTATACAAGGTGTTCCACACTGGTACAGTAGAATAAATAAAGAGCAACACTCCCATTCTTATGTAACATCATTTTTAGAAGAAATGACGCTCTGAGTGAAGGCATACAAAAGGAATAATTTTATACAGTTGCCCCCAGTAATACAATTGCGTACACATTTTCTGTGGTGTTGAACTATAGAAAACTTTATTCTTTCCAACAAGATGACTGGAAAAACATCTCATATTTATGCTAATTTATTCTACTGTGGGGTGTATTTATCATGTTTATATGTTATGTAGCTTGTTTATTATATAATTTTGAAAAATATCATAGATGGATTAATGAAAATGTGTATATTAACGTAATATATGACATTTAATGTGCCTCAGAGTGATTATTATTGAGTATTATTATTATCATTATTAATGTGGCATTCTCGAGACATAAGACACTCTTACTGATTTTAATGTGTACCTGCACACAAGCACAGTAAGTTTATTTAGGTACAGGTACACATAAGTATAAATATCAGAGTATATATGAAATACTACATGTAACTTTAAAAACACTTAAAATTTTGGAAAGTTTCCAGACATACTGGAGAGACGTGCAGCTCACGGGAGAATGTAAACAAACTGAGCGGAGTGCTGTGACTGTATTAGAAAGTCAAGTGGGGGGAGCCATATAGCAAGTTTTGGTCATAATTTGAAATGTCTCTATTAGCAGAACACCATAAAGCAAAATGCCATAAAACAGGATATTATTGTACTGTACAGTATTGCACATTTATTGATAGGATAAACTTTTATTCATTTATTTACTTATCGATACTGAAAAAGTAATTATTTGTTTATTTACTTATTCAACTAATATAGTTATTTATTTACTTATACAGTCATACCCTGCCCTACATTAACTGGTTAAAGAGCTGTGATGTAACCCATTTTTAACATAAACTGGACATGATGCCTTACAAATGCCTTAAAATGATGACAAACACTGTAAAACTAGCGTAAACAACTTGCAAAAGAATATAACTAATGCTAAACTTTAAAGAACACTAAAAACACATTTTAGTCGTAATTTTTTTAAAGAATAATGAACGCAATTAAAAAATTATGATGTAGGTGATGTTGCTGAGTGACGTAAAGTTGGACGTAATGACGTTCACTGAACTGAAATTTACTCTGGAAAAGTGGCATAATGGTGATTTGATATAGGCCAAAATGACATAAAGCAGGGTATGACTGTATATGAATATATGATAAATAAATGGCTTACGATATTTTCAACTTATGATGAGTTTGTTGGAACGTAACCCTATCGCAAGTCAAGGAGCACCTGTACAACTTTTACATTTGCTTCTGAAGATAACTCATGCCACTATCATTTACAGTGAGGAAAATGTGTGGTGGCTATGCGACTATGTGCGTACGCACGAAAGTCAGCAGTTGGTCAAGTGTTTTGTGGCATTCATCAGTAATGAGTCACGGTGTGTACCACTATGGAGACAACGAGTGGGCAAGTCCGAGGATAAACTTATAACTTGGGTAAGTTGGCTATCCATTCTCTCGTGAAATAATCAGGATATAATGGTACACATTGTATAAAATACATAAAAAAATGTATACCTTCATAAAATTAATACTAATACTGTGTGTGTGTATGTATGTATATATATATACATGTATATATGTCATGCCGAATATGTAAAACTGGTCAGTTAGCAAGAACTCATTTAAAATTAAGTCTTTCCTAAAATTTTCTTTTATACGTTAAACATATATTTTTTCGTTTATGTTAATATAAAAATTAATAATTTTGTACGAAAAGAACTTTAGAAAACTTACTTAACCTTATAACAAGTGCAGCTTAATTTAGCCTAATCCAACTAAATATACTTTAGATAAGTTTACAGTAATTTAATAATAAACAAACACAATTAAATATATTTTTTTGTTATGTTTAGAATGATTTTTGTGAAATTATTGCATACACAAATTTTCATTTGCCTTATTTGACAAGAAGAGTGTTGCTATTAAAGCCAAGATCACAAGTTATACCTATTCGGCAAAAACAAACAAACAAACACACACACACACACACACACACACACACACACACACACACACACACACACACACACACACACACACACACACACACACACACACACACCACACACACACACACGCACATGCACGCACACACACACGCACACGCACACACACACACGCATGCGCACACACACACACGCACGCGCACACACACACACGCACACACATGCACGCAAGCACACAACAACACACACACACGCAAACGCACAACACACACGCATGCAAACACACAACACACATGCACACAAACACACAACACACATGCAAACACACAACACACACTCATACACACACATGTATACATACATATACACATACCTACATATACATATATACATACATTCACATTTTAATGTTTTATATTGATGTCAGAAGAGGTGCTGTTCAGGATTATACACTGCTGAAGTTTTCAATCTATGAAGTTCTTTCCCTTTTAATTCTATACAGTATCAGTGTACCAGAGGGCCCCGCATAACACATCTCCTTTTCGGTGTTCCATATTTTTGTTGCCTTCAAATTGATCCATTGATCATTATGTTCCACCCGATTGTTCCATCGTCTGGATTGTTACCAGCCGGTGGAACAATCAGGAACGGATCTACAATAAAACTAGTGAAGCTTAAGTTTCAGGGGCCCCTAATCCTGGAGGGGCCTCAGAAGCGACTTTAGTCCACATTGCTTAACCCTTTCAGGATCGCCAGGCCCTCTCCGAGACTTGTTCTCAGGGTCGCCCAAATTTCAAAAAAAAAAAAAATATTTTTTCTTATGAAAAGATAGAGAATCTTTTCCCGATCATAATGACACCAAAAGTATAAATTTGATGGAAAACTTACGGAATTATGCTCTCGCGAAGTTAGCGGTCTCGACGATGTTTACGCATCGGCAATTTTGCCCACTGTGAGCTCTATTTTCGGCCAATTCCAGTGTACTAGTCGACAAAAACCATAACTATTTAGCTAGAACTCCATTTTTTCTATCAAATGAGTACAAGAAACCACCCATTTACCGATTTCAACTATCCAATAAAGCGGTCAGAATTTAGCAATTTTGCCAATTTCACACAAACTTCAAAAGATGCCAATTTCCGAATAGGGTCCAGAATAAACAAGAAAGACATTCCTGGCACTAAAATAACAAGTTCTCTGTTCGTTAGTCACATCCCCAGGCCCCTCTTATATTTCTTTGGCTTTCCACTTTGAATTTTTATTCTTACAAAAAATAGAAGATTTACTGTTATGCAGACTACTGCATTAGTGTAGAAATGGTATAAATAATATCACTAGTTGACGTGTATTGGACGCTTGGCATGATTTGTTTACTTTTGAACTTTGGTAAAAATTGAAAATTTCTGCTTTTTTGAGCTCAATTTCAAGGTACTTTTCATTGTAAAACCAGTCAAAATCATCTCAATTTCTGTAATATGTCTTCCATTCTATAAAATGAGACCAGGAAAACTAGAATACAACCATAAATACCATACGAAAATGCAGTTCAAAATCGCTGTTTTAATCCAAAAACATGGTCAAAGTTTTTTTTTTCTCATTACGCACTGTGTGCTGCAGGATTTTTTTTATACTGCGCACACTGACCACATAGACCCATTCTTTCATATGTAGGCCTACCAGCTTTCTCTCACTAGATTTGAGGGTGCTAGAATTTAGGCGTACTAGTACGTCAAAAACCCTGGAGCGTAAGCCGTACTAGTACGGCTGAAACCCTGAAAGGGTTAAAAATTTTTGGTCTTCTGTATGAGAAGAGGCCCCCCATAACAGGTCCAGATTCAGGGCCCTAAAAAAACAGGTCCCCTACTGGGAACAATTACTCAGTTGAAAGCCAACAAAAACATGGAACACCAAAAATAAGTGTTGTATTATATGTGGGACCCTCCTGAGGGTGCTTTATTATATGTGGGACTCTCCTGAGGGTGCTGTATTATATGTGGGACCCTTCTGAAGGTGCTTTATTACATGTGGGACTCTCCTGAGGGTGCTGTATTATATGTGGGACCCTCCTGAGGGTGCTTTATTATATGTGGGACTCTCCTGAGGGTGCTGTATTATATGTGGGACCCTTTTGAAGGTGCTGTATTATATGTGAGACCCTCCTGAGGGTGCTGTATTATATGTGGGGCCCTCCTGGGGGTGCTGTATTATATGTGGGGGCCCTCCTGAGGGTGCTGTATATGCAGGGCCCTTCTGCACTTGATATTAGTTAAGGAGGGTGTTCAAGACTAATGTTTTTTTTTTATTATGAAATTAACTGGTTTCCTACATGTATCAGTGTGATGTGGTTCTCTTAAGTGTAATATTTTATCCCATTTAGAACAATATTATTTAATGTAAGCTTTGTCTTTTGCTAATTATAACAGGTCTGTCTCTCAAACACACATATAGTTTCAATCAAAACTAACAAAAAAGCTTATACAGCTCAATTTACTAAAACATTATGCTGATCTGATGTTTACCATATGGCTAAAACTACCTGAGAAGAAACATTGAAAGCTCAGTACAATATATCACTACTGTGTAGATACAGTGTAGAGAACTTATGTAATGCACACACACCAAAAGCTAGCTAACACACACACACACACACTCACATGTGTACACACAACATGCATGCTCGGTCACCTACAAATGTGACCTTACGCAACCAATTGAAGTTTTAGAGCCTGGTTTATCAGACAGTCGACACAAGCATGGCCCCCAAACCAGGCTGCGAGGGTAGAAGAACTTGAAACTGGTCACAAGTATATCACAGGTGTCACAATTTACAACTGCAGGTGTGAAACATTACTGTTCTTTGCACTAGGGTTTTCTATAGAAACAATTCCTATTCTTTGCACTTTTTTATACTGTACAGAAAATTCATATACTGTACACAGTGAAAAGCTAGGAGCGCAAATCATTTATACGATGGTAGTTGTTCTTCCTGCTCTATATCTCCCATCCCTGCCCTCCTCTCATATATATACTGGCTCCCTTACCTTCATGTATTAGTGTGTGACTAGTTAAATGCTCCAAGTGGGATCGAAGAATCATAAGTTTCTTTCTCCTATGTTTGGGTTATTTGTGTATTGTTCCAGTCACTGTATCGTGTGTTTTTGTTTTGCTGTGTTGTCTCCATAGTTTTGTAATTCTGTTCACAGTTTAACGCTTAAACTGTCCAAACATAGATCTACATTTTTTTACATAAGCATGTAAAATCGAACGTAGATCTACGTTCGGAGTGCTATGCAAGTGAACGTAGATCTATGTTTGGACAGTTTAAGTGGATCAACACTACATGCAGATATTGACCTACACTTCATACCTTTGATATACCTTTGATGAGCTTCCAGAGTCTTGCTGCTCTCAGAGCCCAGCCATGGACCAGGCTCATAATTAATCCTGAACTAGAAGTGAGTGTTCAAGAGAAACCATGATGTCTGATGCTAGATTCCCTTTGTTTCTATCATCATTCATTCAAGAAGAGTGCTTGAAGAAAGAAGGAGAATGAAGGGTTCTTAATCCAAGGAATCAGAACTACTATTTTTCCCTGTTCTCCCAGGTGCTGTACAACCTCTATGGCTCTAGTGCTTTCCTGCAGTTTTAATATTTAAGATGGTGAATCTAAGCTTAATTTAACCACCCAAATTAAGTTCCATTGTACTAGCTAATGGCTGTGCTTTTACCTGACTACCTAATGTTGAAGAGTATACATATTGTAGGTACAGTAAGTATGTATGTATACTTTTAGTACAGTACATGTATTATATATAGATAGCATGTATACTCAGTACAGTATGTATACTCCTAGTACAGTATTATATACTGTAGGTATAGCATGTATATTCAGTACAGTATAATATTCTATAGGTACAGTATGTGTACTCATAGTACAGTATAACAAAATGGTCATGTCTTCAGTGAAAGTTACTAGTAGTTGCTGTGATTATGACCTGTATACACTTCTACTGTTACAGTGGTTGATTTTACAGTGGCTGCCATTGCAGTGGTTGCTGTTACAATGGTTGCCATTGTAGTGGTCATTGCAGTGCTTGCTGTTGCAGTGGTTGCTGTTACAGTGGCCTGCCATGAAGCCTAAAGTTACCCCTCTTTCGCATACAAGTTCATCATGAGATTGGGATGGCATCAACATCCGAGCTTCAATAATAAAAATACTTTACCTATTGTTGTAAAAATAAAAACACTGAAAAAAGTGTTTTTCACAATTCACAATATGTACATCATTTCCTTTCACATTTTTGTTTTTACTTAAAGAGCAAGTAGTTTAAGGCTGTTTCTTCCAAAATTTCAAAATTGTTGTCACTTCACCTAGAGGTGCCTTAAGTGAGTTCTTAGATACTCTACTACATTCTCAGCACTGTCAACCAGTAATGAATTTTCACCTCACTCAAATAATGCCAGTGGTGAACTACTGAAATCAAATAT